CAGGCCATCCAACAGACGCGGAAGCGTTCCTGTCAGATCCACCACGATATCTGAATTTCACATTTCAAGTTCGATTTCTCAGAGCCAAAAAAAAAGAAAACGAAGTATGGAAATCAACCCCCCCCTTTTCGAGTCCAGAAAATCCAGACTTCCCGCCCATGCAAAGCCACGAGCTATTTTTCGACGTATCTCATTGGACGGGAGGTGGGCATCTTTACAGTCCCCGCTCGGAAGCTACCAGCCCGTCGAGATCCGATCTATTCGACGGCCGTACTGTGTCACTCGAGGCCACAAGTGATCGAAATCCTGAACAAAGTGGTAGAATACTTCGCTAATGGGTCCAGGCCCCTGGCTCCATATCCACAGGACGAAGTTTTCTGATGTTTGCAAATGACTGAATTTGTAAGGGCAGTGAGTAAGGAAAGGCAAGGGGGAAAAAAGAATGAGAAGAAACGCACATGACGAAGTTTTCTGATGTTTGCAAATGACTGAATTTGTAAGGGCAGTGAGTAAGGAAAGGCAAGGGGGAAAAAAGAATGAGAAGAAACGATGCATCGCAGGGAGGCGCAGAAGAGCCAAACACATTTCTGCTCACCTGCTGCTTGGTCTTTGGCCTGCGCAAGGCAGCGGGTTTGACATCACACGCTACACAGTTGCGCCCCATCCTTGCAATTCAGCCTCCTATGACCACCTGGCTGCACCTGTGGCATTAGCAAGGTATTATTTGCCACACACTCACATTCATTCCTTTGTCACACTCCAAAAATCAAAAGCCCTTGGAGGATCAGCTTTCTCTTATTGAAGTCCGTTCACAACTTCACATTTCAATTATCAAAACAAAGGGAGTCTCCAGGACATGTGCAGGGCTACCCAGTAAACCATAGGCAGAGAGGGCGAAGAGGACAACAAACAAGGGGGTATGACAAACTGTTTCGTCGGAGTTTCACCGACTCATAAGGAGGCTGAACCCTACGAAACAGTTTGTCACAGCCCCTCGTTTGTTGTCCTCTTCTCTCTCTCTGCCTACGGTTTACTGGGCAGTTCTGTTTGTGAAATCACACTTCTGATTATTCAACTTGTCATGTATGCAAACAGCGAAACAGCAACTGGCGACATGCGCCCACACAATACTCAAGATATC